ATCTGTGCTGCCGCTGGGGAGGGAGGACACTGTTCTCGGCACTTTACACTGCCTTCCCGGCATATCACTCTGCTGCTGGGGGGCAGGAACAACTACCTCTGCCCCCTGTAACTCAGCCTGCCGCTGGGGAATGGAGTTCAGGCTCCCAATTCCCTGCAATATCTCCCGCTGGGGAATGGAGCTCGGGCTCCCAATTCCCTGCAATTTCTCCCGCTGGGGAATGGAGCTCGGGCTCCCAATTCCCTGCAATTCATTCTGCTGCTGGGGGACAGGAGCGACTATCTCTGTCCCCTGTAACTCAGCCTGCCGCTGGGGAATGGAGCTCAGGCTCCCAATTCCCTGCAATATCTCCCGCTGGGGAATGGAGACTGGGCTCCCAATTCCCTGCAGGACCGGTGGAGAGACCTCGGTCCCATCTCTACCGGCCACCTGGGGTTCTTCCCAGAAAATATCCACAATGTCTTCCCAGCTGAATGGGTCTGGCTCTGGGTCTGTCATGCTGCTCTCCTGCTGAGCCTTCTCGCTGTATTGAAACAGCTGCTGGTAGCCCTGTTCTAGCTCCATCTCCCGGGTTACCAGGTGGACCAGGTCTTGCTCAATTTTGTGAGCGTCGTCCCAGTCATACCTGCTCTCCCTCCACTCCCAGAGATCACTGAACCGGGCTTGTGTAGGGCTCCCAAATTCGAGCTCTGAAAACGACTCCCATAACAAGCCAGGACCATCAAACTCCTCTCCCTCTGGCTTGTCATGCTCGGCTGTCCAGGGTAGGTACTGTGCCCCATACCACCAGAGCGCCTGGTAGGCATCTTCTAGCCACAACTCCTGCCATACTAGGTGTTCCAATTTCCTCACCCATTCCTCCAGGGGCTGCTCTCCCAGGAAGGGCATCCGCAGGGCTACTCGCTTCTGCAACCGCTGGTCTTCCTTGGGGAGTCTCTTGCCCCGCTGGTACTCCACAATACCCAGTGCCTGGTACCAGATGCCTTTACGGACTGCATCTCGGTCATCCATGGCACCCTCGTCATACTCCACTGCTGGTTCCATGCTGGTGCTGTCAGGGTCGCTGTACTGGGACATGCGTTGCCCTCAAATTGTAAAATCCCAAGAAATGGTGTCTCCTGTAGCTGTCCTTCTGGTTGTAGGAACGATCCCGCCGCTGCCACCAATTGTAACGGACCGTTTTGCACACAAGGGGTAAAAACCGTTTAGGCGATCGGCCCCCTTTCCAGAGATACAGGCACAGCTACTGCAGAACACCAAACTCCCGAACTGGATACAAAATAGCACTCCAACTCCCGAACTGGAACCTCCCAAATAGCTGCTAGCAGACGAACAGGAAAAGCAGACAACAGCTTACACTCCTGGCAATCAGTCTCTAACAGCATACAGTGAATCCCCCCAAGAACGAGACAAGGCTCCGTGTTGAGGGTCAAGCAGTGGTCTGAGGTGCTGGCACACCCAGCCTGGTTTTTATTACAGTGTTTCAAATACAGGACCACCCACAGGGAGGGATAAAACAACCAATCATATCACAGTTACATCCCACATATTCCCTCCCCTTATCCTGAGAGGAAACTCAATTATACAAACAGTTAAAACATACTTTCTACCCAACTTTCATAACTCCAAAACCATACATCACATTCACATAAAATTACATATTCTCAATCAATCCATTCAGGGGAACAACATATTCAAAAATGGCACAAATCAGACAAGGGGTTCAACAGTTAGTAAAAAGTCCTTTGTGACTAAATGAAGCATGGCTTTCTGGCCCAAACCAGTTTCAGAGTCTTCTATCCTGGAGATAAGTAATTGAATTATCTCCCAGGACAGACACAAGACTCCATTAAGCACATGGTTGCAAAAAGACACAAAACACTTTAAAATACATAAAGTCACATTTATTACATAAAACACAGACATGTAACATATCCCCAGATAGCTCAGGTCTGAGCGCACATTATTAAGTGAATGGCGCTCAGACCACACAAATACAATTTAATCACCATGGAGCCAAAGTCTTTACAGTCAGTTTCATATGAATGGGCTCCATGGGATTCCTATCTGGGGTATAACACATTCAACCAAAACTACCAAACCCCAGGCAGAAAAGCACGAATGAAGCTTTTCTGCAGGTAAAAAAGATGTCTTTTAAAAGGGGCCATAGTCCAAAGGCAGCAGGCGAGCAACCAGGCTTCTCCAATGCAATGTGGCGAGATTGGTCTCGTCACAGTTACTTTTTCTCATTTGATCTGTGAACCAAACGGTGGAAGAATGCTCC